CAATGTGGGACGTGCACTGTGATGAACTCAGAGAAACAATAGGATGTGGACTGCAGCGTTTAGTTATCAGGTTGTTTCACGATATTGGTAATGCTTGAAAGTACACGCATGGAAGCATAAGGCCACTGTTACATACTCAACTCTGTGCAGCAACACTGTGGGGAAAGCATCTCTCAGCTAACGTAATCTTTCCCTATGTAAGAAGTGTCAGAATACAAGTGCAGAGACCTTGATGAAAGTGCATTTCGCTCAACTCTGGAACCACAGTGTGCGGAATGCATCATTCAGTGACAGTCTTGTTTCCTTATGTTTGCTAGTGTTTGATAACAACAGGCATGGAAGTATAAGTGTTATACTTATAACTCTGTGAATGAACACTACGGGGAACCCATCATTCAAGTAATGTCATGTTCACTATGTTAGTAATGTTAGAATACAGATGCGGAGACCAATGAGGGAAGTGCCGTACGCTCAACTCTATGAACCAAACTGTGCGGAATACAGCCTTTAATCACAATCATGTTTCACTAAGTTAGTAATGTCTGGAGAAACATGCATGAGAGCATAACGTAAGTGTTAGATACTCAGCTCCGGGCATGAACCATGTGGGAAACACTTCATTCCACTAACGTCATGTTTCACTTTGTTAGTAGTGTTAGAATACAGATGTGGAGACAAAGGAAGGAAATGCAGCATGCTCCCCTCTGTGAACAAACACGGTGTGCAATGCAGCATTTACTTACCATGTTGTTTCAATAAGTTAGTTATCTTTGAAAACAAGCATGGAAGGAAGTATAAACTAAGTGTTATAGACGCTACTCTATGGAAGAACACTGTGGGGAACATATTGTTCAACGAACATCATGTTTCACTATGTTAGCAGCATTAGAATACAGATGCGGAGACCAGTGAAGGAAGTGCAGCATGCTCAACTCGGTGAAAAGACGGTGCGCAATGCAGCATTCCGTTACCATGTTGTTTCACTGACTTAGTAATGTTTGAAAACACAAGCATGGAAGTTTAAACTAAGTGTGATATACTGTACTCTGTGCAAGAACACTGTGCGGTATGCGTCATTCAGCTAATGTCATGTTTCACTATGTTAGTAGTGTTAGAATGCAGAGGCAGAGACCAATGAGGGAAATGCAGGGTGGCCAACTCTGTGAAACAACACGGTGCAGAAGGCAGCATTCAGTTACCCGGTTGGTTCCCTACGTTGGTAAAGTTTGAAAACACATGCATAGTGGTATGTACTCAAGTCTGTGGAGGAACACTGTGGGGAACCCATTGTTCAAATAACTTCTTTCACTATGTTACCTGTGTTTGAAAACACAGATAGAGAGATGAATGATGAAAATGCATGGTGCTTAACTACGAGAAACAACACTAGGCAGAATGCAGCACTCAGTTACCAGGTTGTTTCACTACGTTGGTCCTCTTTGAAAACACATGCATGGACATATTCGCTACATGTTGTATAATCAACTCTGTGCATGAACACTCTGTGGGGAAAGCATCACTCAGCTAACGTCATATTTCCCTATGTTAGAAGTGTCAGAATACGAGTACGGAGACATTTGAGGGAAGTACAGTGCGCTCAACTCTCTGAAACAACACTGTGCGGAAAGCAACACTCAGTTATCAGGATGTTTCACTAAGTTAGTAATGTGTGAAAACACATGCATGGAAGTATAAGCTAAGTGTTTTGTACTCAACTCTGAGAGTAAAAACTGTGGTGAATGCATGAATCAACTAACTTCATGTTTCACCATGTTAGGGGTATTAGAATACAGATGCGGACAAAACCCTAGAGGAGAAAGCAGGAAACACCTCCTTGACCTCCACCACAGCAATTACTCTCTTGACACATCCCCAAAAGCAAGGGAATCAAGAGCAAAAGTAGACTATTGGGACCTCATCAAGATTAAAAGCTTCTGCACAGCAAAGGAAACAATCCATAAAACTAATAGGCAACTGCCGGAATGGGAAAAGATAGTTGCAAATGACATATCAGATAAAGGGTTAATATCCAAAATCTATAAGGAACTCATCAAACTTCACACCCGAAAAACAAACAATCCAGTGAAGAAATGGGCAGAAGATATGAACAGACACTTCTCCAAAGAGGACATCCAGATGGCCAACAGACACATGAAACGATGCTCAGCATCCCTCCTCATCAGGGAAATACAAATCAAAACCACACTGAGATACCACCTCACTCCAGTCAGAGTGGCTAAAATGAGCAACTCAGAGGACTCTAGATGCTGGCGAGGATGTGGAGAAACGGACACCCTCCTACACTGTTGGTGGGAATGTAAACTGGTGCAGCCCCTCTGGAAAACAGTGTGGAGGTTCCTCAAAAAACTAACAATAGAACTCCCCTAGGACCCAGCAATAGCACTGCTAGGAATTTACCCAAGGGATACAGGAGTGCTGATGCATAGGGGCACATGGACCCTAGTGTTCATAGCAGCAGTCTCCACAACAGCCAACACATGGAAAGAGCCTAAGTGTCCATCAACGGATGAGTGGATCAAGAAGATGTGGTTTATCTATACGATGGAATACTCCTTGGCAATGAGAAAGAATGAAATCTGGCCACATGTAGCAATATGGATGGAACTTGAGGGTGTTATCCTGAGCGAAATAAGTCAGGCAGAGAAGGACAGCTACCGTATGTTTGCACGTATAGGAGGATTAGGAGGAACTTAACGTAGGACCATGGAGGAGAAGAAGGGGGGAAATAGTCGGGGAGAGGGAGGGAGGCAAACCATGAGAGACTCTTGAATGTTGAGAACAAACTGAGGACTGATGAGTATCGGGGGGAAGGGATGGGGGGTGATGGGCATGGAGGAGGGCACTTGTGGGGATGAGCACTGGGTGTTATATGGAAACTAACTTGACAATAAACTATTAAAAAAGGGGGGGGGGAAAGGAGGGGACAAGATGGTGGGACAGCAAAAAAATAAAATAAAATAAAATAAAAATATACAACTATATGTTGCCTACAAGGAGAACATGGAGATACTAATATATTAAAATAAAAAGATGGAGAAAGATATGTATGCTATATGAACAATAGTCAGAAGGAAGTTGGAGTAGCTGTATTAACATCAGCTATAATAGATTTCAGAGCAAGATCTGTTCCCAGAATAAGGTAACAAAGACGTGAGTTCATCAAGAGGACATAATAATCCCACAAGTGTCCACACCTAAGGCGGCTCCAAAGCACATGATGCATACTGATAGAACTGCAAAGAGGAATAGATAAATTCACACTGTAGAACAAGTAGAGTGAATACAGCAAGGATACAGTAGGCTTGAACTACACCATCAACAAACTTTACTTGATTAACCTTTATAGAGTACTCCACCCAGCAATAGCACAGTCTTCTCGAGAGCACACATATATAATGCCTCTTGTGATACTGCCATTATTTCTTAGTTATGTACCCTGGAACAGATTATTTAACCTCACTCTGCTTCAATTTCTCTATTGGAGAGTGGGATAATAATAACACATATCACACAGAGTTGTTTTCAGGAGTGAAAAATACATAAATGCACTTGAAGCATTTAGAATAATGCCTCGCACAGAGTGAGCTCTCGATATGGTAGCCTCCATTAACAGTATTGCAGCTACAACTGAAATGTTGATGGCCGAGCCTGAAAAATGTTAGAATTATGATAATTGCAAAGTCTTGTTCTCCTCTGAGTGAAAACAGTCCCCTGAAAATATAAGGGGACAACTCTTTACTGTGAGCCTTCTACAAGGTCCTCAATTAGAAAAACAATGTGGTTGCGGGGGAGAAGAAGGGGGGAAGTAGGGGGGAGATTGAGGGAGGCAAACCATGAGAGACTCTTGAATGCTGAGAACAAACTGAGGACTGATGGGTATGGGGGGAGGGGGAGGGGAGAGATGGGCATGGAGGAAGACACTTGTGGGGATGAGCACTGGGTGTTATATGGAAACCAACTTGACAATAAACTATTAAAAAAAAAAAAGAGCAACAAAAAAAGAAATCCAAAAAAAGCAAAAGAAAAAAAAGAAAGAAAAAGAAAAACAATGTCGCTACAAAAAGAGGAGACTGGGGTGGGGATAGTGAGCCTGCAGTGGCTCTAGGGGAGGGGGGAGCCTAGGGGCAAGGTGAGGCAATAGCAGGATGGCTCAACCTAGCCTGTGAACTCGGGCTGACACAAGTCTGGGAGGCGCGAGACCCTCCCTGGGGCTGAGAGGTGGGCACTGACTCTTCCAAAGGTGCCACTGAGTCCTCCTCTCCTCCCACCCTCAGCACTGGGCAAAGGGGAGAGAATATTTGGAGGGAAGCAGATATGGGGGTACATGGTGGAAGGCGTTCCTCACTCTCTTCTGCTCTACTTAAGAGTGTGACCAACCTAGGGCCACATGTCCCTCAGCACACATTCATAAAAGATCTGCTCCTGTAAGAAAAAGCCCAAAGCACAGAACTCTGTTAAAAGTCTTGCCCCCGGGACGGTGCCAGGGCTTCTCATCATTTATAGACTGGGGTGAAATGCAAGAGTTATGGTAGATTAGTGCCCTTCACCCAGCACTAATCCCCAAAAGCCCGTCAGAGACCACACATCTACAGAGCTGCAGTGACCCATAAGATGACCATCACAGGGGAAAAGAATGACCTGAGGGACACCTCTTATAAAGTATCACTTTCTATTTCTAAAATGTGGTAGTCAACGTGTATCCGTCAGCACGGGGCGCTAGGACAGAGTTCTCACTGATCACGTTGAGAGAGGCATAGGGAATGGCAGATGACCACTTTGTTTACTGTGATTCTGAGTGATGAGACTCCACTGTGAAAACCACAGTGACCCGTGAAAACAATATTCAGAGCTCTGGTGTTCAGAAAAACCACGGGGGCATACTTCTCAGGCTATCCAAGACTTGATCACAAATTAAGGGGCAAGTGAATACCAAAAAAGTGAAATGCACTGCTTTGCTTCCCAATCAAGGATATTGTTTATTTGCTGATCCAAACTTGAAGGAACATTATGTAAAAAAGGGACTGGAAGAAGAACAAAGTGCTGTTTGGCTAAATGAATGTTTGTTCAGCGTATGGCTCTGTGTTGTTAAATGACTGTGGACTGCCCGATTACTTGTTTGAGTTCTTGACACTTTTTGCCTTGGATTATTGAGCTCTAGCGGTAGCTGGTGCTATTTCTCCCTGTTTGGGGATTAATTGTTCTCCTATCAATCTCCTGAAAAGCACAATGATCACGGAGAGGGCTAAGAAGAGAAGGCGTATTAACATAATGGACACAATCTGAACTGAGGCAGGCACCTCTTCTGTCAGGATTCTCGCTGGTCCACTGTTCATGCTTCCTCCATACCCTGTCTCCTCACAGTAGGGAGGCGCCCAGCCATAAATGCAGTGGCAGTTTTTTTTATTGTTGCAAATGCCTCGGTGGTTGCACTTCTTAGGCTCACAGTCAAACTCAAGGACTGAGCTAGGCATACAAGTACCGTTAATACACACCCGGTCCACACCGCAGGGGGTACCATCATTTACTACACCTATGTCAGGTATGCCCATGGGTATCATGGATTTATGGTAGCCTGTCCCCCAGCAAATGAGGTTTTCATCTCGCAGATAAGTAGAGATGATGGTAGTATGATCTGGCAGATCAGGGATGGTGTGGACGTTTATACACTGTAGCCTGCCGCATACTGCATTTTGCGCGGTACATGTTTTATAGGCATGGACTCCCACAATCCCACAGTTCCCATATTGGTCACCCATTATGTTAACTGCTTCATAGCACTGACTGGGGGCCTCCCTGGCACCAGGTCCAAAAATGCTTTGGCACTGCCTATATCTGGAATGGCAACCTTTTCTGTAACAATAGGAATCATGCTTGCAAGGGGTTCCGTCCTGTTTATACGTGTCTTCTGGGCAGAAAGCGGAGTTTCCAACGCAGTACTCTGGAAGGTCACATTCATTTTCTTCCTTCCGACACGTGTGCCCAAGTGGACGAAATTGACAGTTATGACAGCAAAGTCCGGTGCTACAGCTGGTACCAGGCATGAGTTTACAATCCGATTTGCAACACCTATCACTTCTGCAGTCCTCTACTGAACCACAATCACATTCTTCACCCTCTTCCACAATTCTGTTCCCACATCTGCTAATCACATAACCCAGTCCTGGGATATCATTTAGACAGTCTCCGTTTGAATGTATGTAACTATGATAATTGATATAACTACAATTACTAAACCCATCAATCCCAGTGCCCATGATACAAGTTCTCTTACCCTTGCAACAACAGTCTTTTGTGTCATGTTGCATTCCAATACCATGGCCCAGTTCGTGAGCAGACCATCGGCTGGCTTCAAGGATATTTAGACTTGTAAAACTACTGACTGATCCACTAAAGTTCTGTGAACATGCACCTCCGACATAGGCCCATCCAAGACAATGAATAAAGGCAGTTGTAACATACAAATGTGTCCAATCTGCTGGAATTTGAGGAGAGAGGTGTGTTCTAAGATATTTCAAAAATGCTTCTAGAATTTTGCTTGTGTTCATTTGGCGAATATTTATCCTGTCTCCACTTGTCCATATTTCAATACCTTTTAGATGTACCCTCACATTGATTTCCGTAAAGAAGGCATCCAAAATCCCAGCCAAAAGAACGGCATCATGTATGATTTTAGTAGCATTGGACTTCAAGAAGATATATCTACTGTGATCAAAGACCATGACTGTTTCCACGTACCTCTGATGTGAATAGGATTCAGCCAAGTCCCTAAGCCTAGCCACATCCTCACCTCGGGCCATCTGTTTCTCTAGTTTGTCATTAGTTAAGCCACAGGACTGATTCTGAAATCTGTCCTCTTTCTTCAGGAGATACATCACATGTTCAAAACTGGAAGAGGCTTTGAGGGGCTCGATTTGGTAATGTTCATCATAAATTTTCAGTATGCCCCGGAGACCCCCAGTGCATGTACTGAAAGTCGCTTCGGAATCCTGAGTTCCTTCAACCAAGCCTATATAGTAGCAATCCCTGGGCACGTAAGGGTGATCCTCCAGGAGTTTCCCCTGTTCTGTGAAGGAGAGAACCTTCAGATTTCGGGGCAATAGAAGCCTTCTGGGCCGCAAGTGGAGGACGTACTTCTTGCCTTTAACCTGCAGGAGGTAGGACATTTGCTTGACTGAGCCCTGCTGCCCCTCCCGGAAGCTCAGCTGCTTGGGAATGATGATTTCATAGGACTCAAATCCCCACTCAGGGTGAAAAATTAAATCCTCGCCAAGAGCATCAGCCAGGAGCCCCGCGAGGAATAGCACCGGGAACACGCGGCCTGGAGAGAGTAAGGTCCTCCCTGACCTCATAGCAGCCCCGGCGAGTCAGTCCCCGCAGCCAACCTGCGAGTCAGGTTCCAGGGGCGGCCGCTAGGGGCGTGGGAGCTCACGGCCGCAGGGCCCGCACGGCAGGGGCTGCGGGAACCCCAGCCTCCGCGGTGCCATCTGGTCTGTTGACCTTCCCAGAACGTATCTAGTTCCGTTTTCCGCGCCGTGCCGTTGGCCGCACGAGGGAGGACTGAGGGAGAGTTGAGCGAGAAGAAAACGGAAGAGGGGCTGTTGGGCAGAGAGCAGCCTGGGGAAAGAAGGACTAGAGAAACAGGAACAAAAGAGATCTTGCTAAAGGGTCGCTGCGTCCTGGGCCATCTCGTCTGTCTCTAGACGCCCTAGGACACATCTGGTATTTTCCATCGGAGGGAATCTGATGTTTCCTAGGCCAGCGTGCGCGCCTCGCAGTCACACCATTCCCAGTTTTTCCGCTGGGGTCGCCTGCGCCGCAGAGCCGGAGAGTACCAAGGTGGGGTCTAATCCTCGACCCGACGCGAGGCACGGAGCTCCAGGCTGCGGGCAAGAGGAAGTTTCCAGCTCATTTGGTCAGGTGGCTCTTTTTGTCGTGTGTCCTTGGGGTGTGTGTGTGTGTTTGCGCGCGCAGGAGAGGAGAATGTAGGAGGAGAAAAACACTTGCGAGAGCAGACCCGACCCCCCCCCCCCCCCNGGTGGCTCTTTTTGTCGTGTGTCCTTGGGGTGTGTGTGTGTGTTTGCGCGCGCAGGAGAGGAGAATGTAGGAGGAGAAAAACACTTGCGAGAGCAGTCCCCCCCCCCCCCCCCCCCCCCCGAGTTCTCGGAGAAAGGCAAACGGGTGGTTATGTTGTAGTATGAATGGTGGGTGGGGGCGGAAGACCACAAAGGGCTGCGGTTCAAGAGGATTCCGAAACGACTGACGGTACCAAATTTTGATGCGGGTGTAGAATGATAACTCTACATAAGTCATCTAACTGGGTAAACCACGTTAGAAAGCCGATTAGCAGGAAGATGCAGACCATATGACTCAGCAATTCCACGCCTAGAGACATGCCCTACAGTAATGTGTGCATAAATTCACCAGGGCATTTGGAAGCAGCAAAATTCCCCAAATTCCATCAGGGGTGACTGCAGCAACAGAGATGATGGATCAGAGTTATGCACCGCATGAATGAATGTTACAGGTAAGAACAGAACACAAATAAACGTCAAGGTCAAAATCGGGGGAAAAAAATGAAACTTTATTTTTAGGGATGCATGCCCTGTTGGTAAAATAAATCAGGGAAATAATTACCAGAGCCGTGAGGATGACCTGTCATCCTAATTCGAGTGAACAGAAGGGGCTGTAATCAGGAGTGTATGGGGGAGGGGCAGGTAATGGTTCAGGTAGCTTCTAGAGTGCTAGCCTGTTGGTAGTGTATGTCTTGACCACCGGGGTTTGCTGTACATATTTGTTAAACTGTGCCTAAACATTTATACTCATTTTTGTGTATATTTCACAATGGAAAAATGTTTTAATCATGTAAACATTTGTTTCGGAGATGAAACAAATAGGCTTTGGAATCATTAATCTTGAGGCTGACAGATTAGCTTGTTGTCATAAAGATACTCTTGAAAGGATAGTGCCAGTAGATTAAATATGAGCAATTTTTTAAACTTACATTGTAAGACTTTATATCGCCATTGTATTTTGTCCCTTCCTATCTTCTTTTTTTTTAAAGAATATTTACAAGTTTGTGAGAGGTCCATCATTCATTCATAATGTCCCTTTTGGACAAGAATTATTAAAACTTTATAGATAAAAAGCCTCTGACTTGATATTAAGATAAAACCAAGCACAGTACAGAGCGATGTTTATTTCTCTACAAAAGTTACTTTCTGTATCAGTCTGGGTTCAGTCAGGAGAAAGAATCCACATCAGAGTTGAAGAGGGAAATGTAATATAGAGAATTATTAATCTGAATAGGGAAGAGGAGGAATACGAGATTTGCTGATAAATTGTAAAGAGAATTCTAAAGAATACTGGAATTGTGGGGCGCCTGTGTGGCTCAGTTGGTTGGGTGGCCGACTTTGGCTCAGGTCGTGATCTCACGGTTTGTGTGTTGAGCCCTGCATTGGGCTCTGTGCTGACAGCTAGCTCAGAGCCTGGAGCCTGTTTTGGATTCTGTGTCTCCCCCTCTCTCTGACCCTCCCCTGCTCATGCTGTCTCTCGCTCTCAGAAAAAAAAAAAAAAAGAATAAAGAATACTGAAATTGTGGCTATAATACTTAATATGGCAGACATGCAATAATATAATAAGATATGGTATAATATAATATAAATAAAATATAATATGATATATATGTAGTATACCTAGCAACCCTAGGGGTGAAATAGGCCACCCAGGAAGAGCTAGCCTCCTAGGACTGAGTTCAGATCTTGTTAAATGCCACAGCCTTGGACACTGAATGGCAGAGAAGTCAGTGAGGTGTCAGAGTGATCCACTCTGGTGGATCTTGTCAGAAGTCCGACCCCTAATGTACTGGGGAAGCTTGTTATACTAGGACAGGTCCTAGTATTGTCCTGATTGTACATCAGGACAATCAGGAAGGTGTCTCACCAAGGCGCCTAGGGCACTGGGGAAGGTTGTTCACGAAAACACATCTCCCTGGGACACTAATACACTCTGCTACAACCGTCTGGGAAAAGGGGCTGCCTGGAATCGCCACGGGCTGCTGACTACTGTACCCTGCAGACACTGGATGCTGGAGAAGCTGCCTGCACTTTAGGAGCCTGGCAGTTGGGAAGCTACTTACACTAAGGCTGCAGGGGGGCAGGGGGTTGGGGAGGGGATGTCGGAATGAAGCCTAGAACTGGGAAGGAAAGCCTTACTCTTACAGGATCTCTCCAGCACCCTCTACTGATAAAGCTCAACAGTGCCAGCTAGCAAAGCAAACATAGTTAAAGGACCAAGACCCATTTTCATCGAGTTGACAGTGAGGATGACTTCAGAGCTAAGAGGCAATGAATTGAAAATCGACAAGTCTGCTCTTAGGAATTAGATCTCAGTCAGGAGAGGCAAGATTACAGAATTCTAGTTAGCGCTCGCTTGCTTTCACACAGATATTTGAGGCTGGGACAAGGAATGAGGACTACATGCTTCTGGGATGATACAGAGGCCTCTAAATCCCTAGCCCCCAACACCTCAGCTTTTTTCAGCTGACATGGCTTCCTAGGCTCCTATATCCCACAGCCAGAGGCATCTGATTTCTTTTCCCATTTGGTTGGAGCCAATAATCACTAATAGGAAAGATTCTGTGTTTTATTTTTTAAAAAATCAACTTCCTCTTGTCCTGTTTAATGGCTCAGGTCCTAACAGTTTATATTTCTTCTTGGATTTTTTATGAAGTGGTCTATAAGTAATGACTTTCCATTTTTCCTGGCCAGAAACATGGACTCCCAGATCAAGTTGAATAAAACATGTGAGAGTTGTGCAGCTGCTCTGGAAAACAGTGTGGAGATTCCTAAAAAAAAAAAAAAAAAAAGGAACTATCCTAGGACCCAGCAATAGCACTACTAGGAATTCATCCAAAGGATACAGGAGTGCTGATGCATAGGGGCACATGTACCCAATGTTGATAGCAGCACTACCAACAACAGCCAAAACATGGAAAGAGCCTAAATGTCCATCAATTGATGAATGGATAAAGAAGATGTGTTTTATATACACAATGGCATACTACTTGGCAATAAGAAAGGATGAAATCATGCCATTTGCAGCAATGTGGATGGAACTGGAAGGTATTGTGCTGAATAAAATAAGTCAGAGAAGGACAGATATTATTGGTTTACACTCACATGCGGATCTTGAGAAAGTTAATAGAAGTCCATGGGGAAAGGGAAGGGGAAATAATAAAGGGGAAAAAACAGAGAGAGAGGGAGGCAAACCAAAAGAGACTCTTAAATTCATAGTATTCCCTGATAATTGCTTGTATTTCTGAGGGGTTGGTTGTAATAAGTCCATTTTCATTCATGATTTTGTGTATTTGAGTGCTCTCTCTTTTCTTTTCGAGAAGCCTGGCTAGAGGTTTGTCAATTTTGTTTATTTTTTCAAAAAACCAGCTCTTGCTTTCATTGATCTCTTCAACTGTTTCTTTGGTTTTTATATTGGTTATATCTGCCCTGATTTTTATTATTTCCCTTCTTCTACTGGGTTTGGGGTGCTCTTGTTTCTCTCTCTAGTTGCTTTAGGTGCGCTGTTAGATTTTGCACTTGCACTTTTTCTAATTTCTTGAAATAGGCATGGAGTGCAATGTACTATGTGCAAACAAGCTGAACAACTTAGAGGAAATGGAAAAATTCCTAAACACACACTCAATACCAAAATTCACACGAGAAGAGATAGAAAACCTGAACAGACCCGTAACGAGTGAGGAAATTGAATCAGTTATCAAAAATCTCCCAACAAATAAGAGCCCTGGGCCAGATGGCTTCCCTGGGGAATTCTAACAGACATTTAAAACAGAATTAATACCTATTCTTCTCAAACTATTCCAAAAAATAGAAATCAAAGGAAAACTTCCAGACTCATTTTATGAAGCCAGCATCACTCTGATTCCCAAGCCAGACAGATATCCAGCAAAAAAAGAGAACTACAGGCCAATATCCTTGATGAATACGTATGCAAAAATCGTCAACAAGATACTTGCAAATCGAATCCAGCAGCACATAAAAAGAATTATCCACCAAGATCAAGTGGGATTCATTCCTGGGTTACAGGGCTGGTTCAACATTCGCAAATCAATCCATGTGATACATCACATCAACAAAAGAAAAGATAAAAATCATATGATCCTGTTGATAGATGCAGAAAAAGCATTTGACAAAATAAAGCCATCTTTTCTTGATGAAAATCTTTAAGAAAGTAGGTATAGTAGGGACCATACCTCAACTTCATAAAAGCCATCTATGAGAAGCCCTCAGCTAACATCATCCTCAACAGGGAAAAACTAAGAGCTTTCCCCCTGAGA